GCTAATTACTTCTGTTCCCACCACCGCGTGGGAGTTGCCCCTTCCCCACCGGACGCTGGCCAGTCCCCACCTGTTTCTCTTTCTTCACCTGGCTTCCCGCCACGTCTTGGTGCTGCTCACCGCCCTTCCCCACAGGGATACCTGGCCACTCCCACGGAGCTTGATCTTCACCCAGGACTGAAGGGACAACCTTCCTCTCCCTGCTGTGCCTCTCTGGCCAACTCCGGCTCCTTGAGCTCAGCCCCGGGGTCTTTCCTGCCAGGCTGCCCTGTTGGACACTGGAGCTTCTCACCCTGCTCTCCACTCCACCACTCCTACCTGACTTCGCCGCCTGTGGCTCCTCGCTGTTCTCTTGATTCTGCTTGCTGGCATCCTATTGTTCCCTGCTTGGCTCCGCTGCCCGCCTCATGCCTGCAGCCTCCCTTTCTCCCTCCTGGCCGCTGCGTGTTCCCCCAGCTGCCTTTTGAGCAGCCCGCGCTGCTTTCAGACTCCGCCCCTGGGGTTTGCCGATCCACAAGCTCAGGCAGCTGTGGAGCTGCCGAGCTTGCGTCAGCATCTTCTCCCAGCTGCTGCTCATCCTGGCCCCTGCGGTAAGTATCGGGGCTCATCGGGCAGAGTCCCAGGACATGCTGGGAGGGGGGCTTCTGTCTCCCCTCCCACAGCCTTCAAGACCCTGTTATCTCTTCTCTGTAACTGCAAAAGGGCTGCTGAGGGTGGGGATGTTGTGAGACACTGTGGCAGGGCACTGGTAGTGCCTGCCACTTTAAGGGCTGAGTCAAGCAGCCGGCAGGTGCTTGATTGTGGCTGTTTTAGAACACTGGCTGCCTATATAAACAGGGCAGTTCGCTGCTGGCAGCCAGGCAGGAACATTGCCTGACTGAACTGCTGCATGGAATATCTAGCAGGTAGGAGCGGGAGGCTCATGGTCCTGGGCATGACCTAGAACTGCACCCTGTCAGGGAAAGGTGGCCTGGTGGGGCTCCTGATAGTGCAGGAGTCCCCAGGAAATGTCAGATCAGTTACCTCCCCAGTGAAAGGTGAGGAGAGGTGCCTTTACCCCAACCCCCATCTTCGGGTGGGCTTTGGAGATAGCACCCCCTGGCATTGGGGCATGTAATGGGCAGGCTCCTGTATTTACCATCTGTTTGTAGGAACAGCAAAGTCATGGCAGGCGAGGCTGGGAGGATTGCTTTGCAGTGACAGGTGGGCAGGCCAACATGAGACCTGGCCGCAGGAGGGTGCCCCATAACAGATACAATACTCTGCTTTGCCCCATAATCCAAAGGAGAACAGTGCTAAGGGGCATGTCTGGGCCCCGGCGAAGCTGACTTAAGTTATCCTAGTTTGTCCAGTAAGACAGAAAACTTCCCAGACCCCAACAGGGTCACAGGGCGAGCAATACACTAGGCCATAACTGGTACACATGGGCCTGACTCTTTGCTGCACTACACTGATTTCATATGCCAATACTTCAGTATAATCAAATTTCAGTGGAACTATGCTGATGTAAAACTGGAAGAATACAGCACAGAATGAGACCAGTGAAGTTCTCAAACACAAGAGGGCCAGATTTTCTTATGGGACAAATTATTGTAGATCCACTTGTTTCAATGCAACTATAGCAATTCACATCAGTGGTGATCTGGCCCAGGCTATCTGAACAGTTTTGAGAACATGGATTATGTATTGAAGGTTTTGTTTAAAACATGGATTAGTGGCCGGATGGATTGTAGCAGCTGGAGCCTGCTGAATAAATACATACAAAGTGAGCTTTTTTTTAAAGGAATAATATTTAGCTATTCAGCTGAGACAGATCAGAATTACCTGGGAAATATCTATTTAGGGAAGTTTTCTGACATTTAATATATACATATTTAAAGGAATTCAGGGCTGCTGAAAGCACCAGGATTAATAGCTTGGAGACTGATTTTGTCTGCTAGAAGGACAGGGTCAGTGGCCATCCCAACTTCTCTCTGAGTGTTGCTATAATATCCTCAGCCCTATCCTGGAGCAATGAGAAGAGATCAGCCTCTGTAACCTCTGTAGTTCTCAGCCCCTTGTCTGATGCTGTCCATGAGGACCTCATTGTGGTTTCAGTTTTGGTGATATCATCTGGTAGGCAATAGGAAGAAAACATGGAGAGGAGCTTGCAGCCATGAGGTAGTCTCACTGGTTTGAAGGCACATATCCAGTTAGTCAACAGTGGCTGCAGTCCAAAAATAGTCCTGGGCTTCTTGCTAACACTGTCTCTCAGAAGTTCCTGGGAATAATATTTTATGTTCTCTCCAACTGACTAGGAGGCCCCCTCCCAACCTGGTGGATAAATTTGGCCTGAGAGTGTACTATGAACTCTCACAGAAAGTATGGGCCTTTGTAAATCTCCCCACCTTCTATTCCTCTTCTGTTTGTTTTGACCATTCTCTCTAATACATACAGAGTAGCATGCACATTTACAAAAAGAGCCCCCCCAAAACAAACAAAAAAACAAAAAACCCCAACCCCATTCCAAAGCACTCATTACACACAAAATTATTTATCTGAGAGAACAAGTCACATATGAGAGAACTAATGCTCAGATACTATGGGGGTGGGGAGGAGGGCAGCATAAAAACATATATAGCACAGAAGTGTATAAAATCTGTACCACTCACTTCTTGCACCATTGAATAGGGACTTCAGACATCACCAGACCAAACTAGTCCTCTGAACTAGTGAAAGGTCACTGAATCCATTACTCAGTCCTCCTGTTCCCCAGAGTCTTCTTCTGGAAGAATTCGTGTGAAATGTGCCAGGGGGCCCAGGGAAGTGGAACACGTTGAGGAGCACAGACTGTCTAGAGAGCCTAGAGCAGGCCTGCTTGCTGTTTTATTTATTTTTCCTTTGTTTTTCTGCTCATAGCAGTAGTAACATCTGATGGACCAAGGCAGCTGTTAGGGGAGGCAAGGACGCCACAGACCAGAGGGCCCAGTTCACAGAGATTTTTCTGTGGCTTTTTTTTTTGAGCTTACCTTGATGGGTTTGTGGGGCAAGAGACCAGGGAGTAAGGATAGAACTCAGATTGGCCAGATGCTGGACAAAGAGGAGGAGGACTAAGAGACCAAAGCCTGGCAGGGCTGGTCATCCACCCATCAGCAAAAAGGGGTGGGTGCAGAAGACAGGGAGGGGTCAAAGCCCAGTTCAGTCCCATCAGACCTAAGGATGGGGACATGATAGGGAGACAAGATGCCTATGGCCTAAGCTTAGTTTCCTTGAAGACAGCCTCTCAAAAATGTCCCAATTAACATCAAGACTAGGGGACCAGACTAAGGGATCAGAGTAGGTAGCCAGGTACCATCACACCACAAGGAGGTGCCTGGTTGTCTCCAGAGGAGCACCCTATTACAGTCTGCAAGAGTAGGTGAGAGATCATTCAAAACTCTGTCTGGTTCCAGGACAAGAGGGACCAAGTCTGTCCCACGTGTGAATATCCTCAAGCTTTGGGAAAGAAAGTTCACAGCTAAATTCAAATGTTGTGGTTTTAGTTTATCCCTATTTCTAGCAAACTTCTGCCCACTTAATCTGGGCAAAGCTTCCCAGTTATGAAGTTACAGACATGACATCATGACAACAAACTCTAATAGGCTGATTGTAGCCCAAGGTTTATTTGTTTGAACAGTTCATCCAGTTCAATCTCCCACATAAAGTACTTGCAGTAACAGCAGATCCTGAAGGATCTCAAGTTTCTCTATCCCTAACCCCAGAAAGAACATCCTTTCCTATCACTCCTAGTTACATAGTGAGCTAGGCCCACGGTTGTGGTCAACAAATAGGCCTATCACTCCTAGTACAATAGAAGACAAAGAAGAAAGAAAGAAAGACTTTTTTTCAATCTTTATTATAAAAATGTTAAAGACAAGGTAAAAGTGCATATCCCCACAAGGAGCTGGGTATGAAAGCATCTGTCAATCAATGTACATCATAACCAGTGAACCCCTTTCCCTTCCCCTTCCCTCCACCATTCATGTGGTCACACCTTTAAGACCAGTTGGCCATCTTCAACTCTACATAGAGTTCCTTCAGGAGTCCTGAGGGAAACAAATTAGTGTACATTATGTTGCAAGGAGAAGTCCAAGTCTAGCATGCCAAAGAGGCCACTAAGTGCAGCAAAGAGCGGCTGCTTTTTAGGGATGTCAAGAAAGGTGTGGAAGAGTATTTCCTTTACTTGCTTCTCGCGGAAGAGGCAGACCACTGATTCTGCTGGGTGCAGGAGCTCGATGAAGTGGCCAAGGTTCATTGGAGGTCACCAGTTCTCTTGGCAAATGGCAGTTTATATAGGGTGTGCCAGGCTGCCCTGGCTCTGCTGCTGCTAGAAAGAAAGATAAAGTTTCTGTGAAAATGGTCATTCATATGAACACATTGAAACAGCAATTAACATACTAACAACAATTTCTAAAAGAAGTCATTTCAAGCCCCAAATCCTGATGTCTTTGTTTAAAAATGTTGGACCAGGACATTTCAACAATTCAGAGTGTATCTCTAAAAATGTTTCAAATCAGGACATTCATTGAAACTGACCCTTTCCTGTAAACAGGTTTGGTTTTGATAAATTGGTTCTTTCCGATAAACATCTTGTTGGAACAGTCCCAAGTAGCTCTACTCTAAGTCCAAGGACATCTCTTTCACTGAAATATTGAACTCAGCCTGACCTGCAAATTCAGATCTAAGTCCAAGCAAAGGGTTGGTTTTGGTTTGTGAAGAACTAGCATATTACAAACTGGGTGTCAGAGACAGTTCCATAGACAACAATGAAACTTTAGGCATAAAATATGGCTGCTCTGCCGCTTCACCTTCATGGGAAATGCATTCCCTGAAAATGACGTTTAACAGTACAGGATCCTTAGGGGGGTTTTTTCCATTGAATCCTTCCCAATTTGGGGACTGTATATAAAGGGATATTACCAGAGAACTGTATGGTGAAACTGAAAGCCAGACCAACCGCTTCTCTTTGCTTTTTCATCTAGGTCCCTTAGGCCGAGGACAAAGCTCAAGACAGGTTTCTGGGCACTTCAGCTTTCAAGGTAAGGTGCACCATAAAGGACTACGACTGTTCAAGCAGAAATAACTTTAGTGAAAGGAATCAAAAGGAATTGATGGGTAGAGTTAGTTTGTGTGTGTGAAGGGAGGCATCTGAAAAGGGCAGGGAAGTGTGGGGTGTTTTGTGGGTATTTAAGGTTAACACAAACTACAGAAACCTGGACTTCACTTAACAAGACCTTCTCTAGGAGGAGTATGAGAAGGTTTTTTAGTTTTATAGGCTGCAACGCGAGTGTGGATGTTTGGTTCCCTGCGGATAACTAGGAGTGAGACACCTTGTGCCACTGCTAGTTCTCACAGGGGAACACCTGTGCCATGTGCCCTGTGGTATGCAGCAGGTTACCCGTGGTGGGAGTAGGGGAGGCTGGGGCCAGCATTGGGCTGGCGCCAGCAGTCTTACCTGGGGTTCTGGGGGCCTCCTAGGGCTGCAGCAGTGGTGATTCTGCTGCTCAGAGCTTGGCCAGCAGCCAGAGCATGGCTCTGGCCGGCCTGGCTCCAGTTTTGAGCAGTGTGCACTGCCCCGGTATACGCTGCTCCACTTCGCTTTTTTTTTTGCATGCATTTTTTTGACCCCTGGATATCCAGAGGTCAAAAAAACACCACACTGCTCCCTTGCAGCACAGAGAACAGCTGAATGTCTGGTATGTAGTCTTGCAGACGTGTCTGCAGTGCCACATACTGCACAGCCTTGCTCATCTGGATACAGCCATAGAGGCCCACTTAATCCCAGGTCTCTCTGCTTAGACTGCCAACCAAAGAGTAAACTGATGGCAGTTGGGCTGGAATTTGTCTAAATATCCAGTGAAAACAGGGTGTAGCGGGTTAAATCCTAGATGCACTGAAGTCATTGGGAGCTTTGCCACTGATTTCAAAGAGACCAGAAAAGGGAGGGAAAGTTTCTTGCTATTTCAGTCACCAGCAAATCCGTGCTGGATGCCTTCTTCTCAACTATTACCAGTTGCACCAAGCTGTTATATTCTTTTGGGAGGTATAGAAACACACAGGGTCTGGAGATCATCCAATTTATGCTGCTTATGAAATTAAATAGATTTGAATTTAGGTCTCCAGATGTGAAAATATAAAGTTCTAATCAGAGACAGATCTGAGCTGCAAAATTTAAATCTGGATCCAATCTTTGAACCTCTTCCTTGCAACCCCCTTTCCCCACAGGAAACTGTTTTTTGGTTTTAGGCCTGAAACCTATCAGAGAAAAATCTAAGATGCAGATGTACTGAAAGGAATATTGGCTACTGCATAAAGGATAGCCCCTTTAGTACCGGACAAAGTATTGCCTGGTTAGAATCAGTAGGAAACTGAAATCCAAGAGGAGGAGATGCTGACAGTCTTTGCTACCTAGCTCCAGGTATCCTCTGCTTTTCTGGAAGTGTAGGGGTCGCACACACGTGATAATGGTGATTACTGAGGTCAATCCATTTCAAGATTCCAAGTTGAAGTGGACTGACCTGCAAGATTTTTACTTTAGTGAGCATTACCTGCATTAGATCTTGGGAAGGAATAAAATGTCAACTCTACTCACAGATTTGCTCTCTTGAATTTGCATCTGTGGCAAATAATGCATCTTGGGGGCATGAGGACAACTCTGTCATCAGGCCCATGGTTTCAGTCAAATGAGTTACCATAATGCTGATCTCTCAAAGATTCCATTACTCTAAACCTTATGAAGAACGTTAGACAGACTAGAGAATGAAAGCAAGCTCACAAACAGCATATTTGTTAGCAGATCCACTCCTGGAATCACTAGTTAGGAGTTTGGGATTTGGTTTGAATTAACTGGTCTCCTAGGGCAGTATGGCAATGCACTGGCACTTCTCAAGCTGAGCTGGTTCCTGTTTCAAAGAGTGTGGTATGTCAAGCCCTTCCTCTGATGCACTGAAAATTCCACACCACTTAAAGGGCTTCAAGAAGGTGCTTAATCCAAAGCTCAGACGCACAAAAACTTTTCACTTCGGGTCATAGCACTGGAAAGAGCAGCAGTGACAATGAAATGACAGCAACAGTGGCAGGGTTGGCACCTGGGGCTTGTGCCCTGATCACCCACTCCTAGTTACGCTACTAGAATTGAAACAATGCAAACAGACTGTAGGGGAAAAAGACATAAGTATAATCTAGAAGGAAGGTTTTCTGGGGCGAGACCTGGCTTTGCTGGGTGTTCCCTGGTTTCTTGCCTCTTGCAAATCTGCAACGCAAGCCTTAGACTGTCTTTGAATAAGGAGCGCTAGAGAGAATGAGAAAGAGACCAAGCAAACAGCAGGAAAGTCTTATGACTGAGGCATGGATCTAGGACACAGAACATCTAGGTTCAATTCTTGGGCCAACTGCTTCAGGTCTTCTCTTCAAACTTTGTGCCCTGTGTTTTCTTTTTTCTACATAGACTTGACCGGGAACTTTCTTGTATTCTGTGTTTGCACAGAGTCTAGTACAATGAGGCCCTGCCCCCACTGGGAGTCTTGTTGCACTATTAAAATAAAAATAAAGTATTTTGTTTACTTGGACAAAGTCAATATTTAAGGGCCAGATCTTCAGCTTGTGTAAATCAACACAGCTCTACTGACTTCAGTGAACCCTGGTGATTTCATCAGAACTCTGCCAGTTTAAACTAGCTGCAGATCTGACACTTAAATCTACATCAATAGAGGCCAACTGGAAAGCTTGGCCCTTTGTAATTCAGCAACTAAAGAGAAGGATGGGCTACCAGGTGATACCAACACGCAGGACACAAAAGGGAACGAGTGATAAAGTGTCAAGCTCAACTACCTCTCACAGAGTCTGAATGAGAAGTGAACCAGGGGCACTGATTTGGGGCAAGAGCTGAGTGAATTTTTACTTCAGTGAACAGTTTAATCATTAAGAAATAGTCTTGGTTGAATTTTGGAATGTGGGTAAAATTCAGCAAATCCTTTCAGCCAAATAAAAACCAAGCAAACAAACAAACAAAATATCTCAAAATGTCTTTCTTTGGGGGTTTTTTTGTGGGGTTTGTTTTTTTTGTGGGGGGGGAGCTAGATTCACAAACTGAGGGGGGAGAAGTGGTGGTGACACCTGTCTCCCTTACAGCTCAATGGGTAGAACTTACTCTGGGAGATGAGGGAACCTGGCTCCACACCTGTATCCAACTATCTGATACAAAATGGGACAACTTCAGTAAGCGATGTAATGACTTCCCTCATCCTTCTCCCCAAATAGCTTATAGCTCAGCAGTTTGGCCACTCTCCTGAAATATAGGAAACCTGGCTACAGCTTCTGTGCTCTGAATCAGGAAGAAAGGGTATGTGACTCCATACCACAGGTAAATATACTCATGAAAGGGCTGGAGATTCTACCTCCTCCTTCATTTTGTGAATTCAAACCTTTTCTCTTATTAAAATTGCCCCAAAACAAAAATGTAACAATCCATTTTCCTTTAACATTAAACTAATCATTTTTATTCACTGAATGCTAAACTACATGTGACTTTGGGTTGACCTGAAACTTCTTTTAAACCAGTTTGGCCACTGAACTGGAAAACAGTTATTTGCATAGCTCTGATTGCTGTCTTCATCTATGGGCTGCTAGTCTCTGGAATTCCTATCTGCCAGAAACATGTACTAAAGAAGGGTAGCCACATCACACCTGCTGCTGCATGGAAACTTCTGGTTAGTGTTGCTTCCTGAAAAGTGACCCCTGTAAAATCATTAGGAGGACAAATTCCTATGTCATAAAAGAAAGCTCTGGAGCTGTTCCCACAAAGCAGGTCCTGCCAAAGATTAAATATTGGAAACTGTATGTGTATTTATAATGTTCCACCAGAAATTATGACATGGGGAATGTTCTTTAGAACATGCCAACTGACTCATTCGTGAGTTCCATTTTGGTGTTACCGCTGATGGAGTCTCTTGCTTCATCCCTCTTGATTAAGTGATATGGTTTATAGAAATTGGATAGTATCCTTTTAAATAGTTACATTTGCTGTGCAAAGAATGAGGCAGGCTTGGTTTTTCACAGAAGATGCAGCAGATAAAGTATAGGGTGTAGGGTGAGAGAAGAATGTGCAAAAGGAGACTAAGATTTGAACCTGCAGAATCACGTCTCTCTCAAAGCTAATGGAAAAGTTGAATAAAAAGAGATGCTGAGCCAAAACAAATGATTTTCCTCTTCTTTTCTGTGGCTAAACAGGGACCATCGTGGCCACCCAGAAAAAGTCATATTTTAGCAGCACTTCTGAAAACAAGAACTGATGTAACTGTGTTCAGAGAAGATGTGTGTGAGACTCCAAGTATGTCTATAGGGCACAGTGCAGTGCTAGGCATAGAATGCCAAGCTTGCTCTAAAATTACCTACCAGGGGCACCACATTAGCATGACACTGTGTAACAGGACTGAATCCCCAACATGGCTGTGATACCCCTGGTGGCTTTGCAATTTCTGCCCTGCTCTGGCTCTCTGGGTATCCTCCCTCTTTTGCCTTCTTTCCTGCCATGCCTTGCTGTTAATTCCATTTATTTATTTATTGGGGGGGCGGGGGGGAGAAAGGAAGGCTGCGCAGAGTCCCAGAGCAAGACCTTCTCTGCTAGCAACTGGTAGGCTCTTCCCAAATCTTACACGACCTCCATCCCGCCCTCAAACACCATATAGGCCCTCCTAGCCCATCCATGCCCCAAGGCACTTAAGGGCTAATTTTATGGCTCTGACCTCCCCTACAACTATACCCATGCCTCACAGATGGTACTGGTCATCACTTAGGTGACTCTGCCCCAAAACAATATCAGGCCCCCTCAGACCTCTGTTCCCTTACTGGGGCCTCAGTCTTACTGGCTTCTGCCCCTCTACTCTAGCTGGTCCCTTTTGCCTAGGTCCACTGCACCGGACCTGGCATCTGGGCTCCAGCCCTAGTCTCACCCTCTCAAGTTTCAATTTTTTCCCTCCTGGGCTTTGGGACTTTGGCCCTGGTTCTCAGCTCTCCTGGGTTATGATTTCACCCCTCTTGC